AATATGTGGGAATTACTTTCTTTTCACACTTGCAGAAAGTGAGAAGGGTAAACTTAAATTCTATTTCCCTAAATTTCTCTCCCAAAAGGATTTAATATTTCCCTTGGACTAAGGCCAGGTCGTTTTGTTGCTTGAGGAATGATTTTAATAAAATCATGATTGTTCATTTGATTTCCATCTAAGTGCTTTACAAATTAGTTCTCTGTTCAGGGAAATGAAGAATATATGTTTCAAAGCTTCCTCCTAACAAATGTGAGTGTCATTCGTGTCTCAGGATACTCAGTTGTCTAAGGATAAAAAAAAAAAAAGGAATTCATTAGGCCTACTGGAAAAGACCTACAGAAGAGGCTTAATGGGGTCTTCCTATGTGAAGGGTCAGATTGAAGTTGTCACAAACTTTTTTGGGGTAGATTATTTGCAACAAGAGAAAAACAAATATCTGATGTTTCATTCGTTGTTTATACTGATAAACCGTAATTGTTTCAAATCTACCCAAAAACCCATTCTTTAAGTTTCCCTATGCATATTAACAGCATTTTCATCATAATTTTCTAATGAGTAAAAGCAAGTCTTTCAATCTCAGTTCCCAAATAATTCTTCTAGAAATAGAACCAGCTGCCTAGCATCCCACCTATCCTGCAAATATTATATCAATCCCTACTCAAAATCATTCCAGGCTACACATTATGTACAGATAAAGAGCAAATGTGTTATCACAGCAAGTTTGTTGTTTGGACTCCTATAATCTGCCCTCAAATGTCCCTTTTATTAAGTTTTTTTGTGCATCCTTAATTCCAGGGAAACTGATTTTTCTAGGTTAGAGTGAAAGTGTTGCTTCAAAAGATTGATACATTTTGAGTTGTGGTAGGCATGGCCAAATTGCCCTCCTAATTTATACCTGTTTACACCCCCTGGTAAGATGTAGAAACAACTGCTTCATCACATTGTCCTCAACATCTTTCTAATGTTTGCCAAACTGATAGGCAAAATTTTTCTAATTATTGTGATATCTTTGATTATTAGTAAGATTAAGCATTTTTCAGATGTTTAGTGGCCATTTTTATTTTTCTCTGGCCTGACTATTTAAGTCATTGTTCTAAGTTTTTCTATTAGAGTATTCATTTTTTGTCTTAAGAACTGCTTCTTAGGAGCTCTTCATATAGAACAGATACTAGCTCTTTGTCATGTGTGTTACAGATATTTGCTTCAGCATTTGTCTTTTGTCTTTTAAGTTTTTATGTTGTCTTGTTCTGCACATAAGTTTAAAATATTCATGAAGTCACATGTAAATTTTTCTATATGATTTTAAACTTGAACTTAAGAATTTTTTCTATAAAAAGATGGTAAAAATATTTTCCTACATTTTCTCCTAACACTTATTTAAGTTTTTCTTTTTTTAATAGATTTAAATTTTCAGTCTTTCTGGAGCTCTGTCAGGTTTTGCTATGAAATAGTGGTTTACTTTCATTTTCCCCCAAATGAATAACCAGTTATCCCAGCTATGTTTGTTTCCTTTTCTAATAAAATTTAATTTGATTTGATTATTAGTTTCAGGTGTACAAAACAACCTAATGATTAGACATTTACACCCCTCATAAAGTGATAACCCCAAGTCTATTACCACTCTGACATCATACATAGCTGTTACAGTACCATTGACTACATTCCCTATGCTGTACTTTATATCCTGTGACTGTGTGTGTGTGTGTGTGTGTGTATTTAACATATACATGTTAATTATAGTTGACCTCAATATTATTTTATATTAGTTTCAGGCATACAGCAAAGTAGTTAGGCATTCATATAATCTATGAAGTGACCCCCACCCCCACAAGTCCAATACCCATCTGACACCATAATAGTCTTTACATTATTAACTATATTCCCAATATTATATTTCACATCCCTGTGACTATTTTGTGACTACCAATATGTACTTTCTAATCCCTTCAACTTCCAGCTATGTTTCTTGACTAAACCATTCTTTACCAAGATCCCCTTGATAATTTTTATCAATTTTAAAGGCTACTTTGTCATATAAAAAAATTCTGACAAATATTTTTCAATTCTACTGCTATCTGTGTCATGTTTTCACTAGTTACTTGCTTAATTATTATCTTGGTCAACAACAGATAAGAGTGTTGTATGTCTGAGAAGTATGTCATTAATTTTCTTACTAGAAATAATTAGCCTGATTCTCTAAGAGGTTAAGTATTGGAAAGTCTTCAAGCAAAATCTGGCTAAAGTACAAACACAAATGTGAAAGGTTTTCATGGAAAATATAATCTGCTTAATACAAAGACTCTTTACCCAAAACTCTGCAGGTGTGAATCTGTTCCATTGTGACAAGCTATCCTAATACCACAAATTTATAGTAAACACCTACTTGCCCCTAAATGATACAGGAACTCAGGTTTTTAAATTTTTATCTTGTGAGAAACAAGCAAACGATAAAGAAATTATTTTCAAAAACTTTAAAGTTTTTTTTAAAAGTATTTATCTTAAAAGGCTTTATGTAAAACAACCTCCCCCCTCATGCCCCCCCCCCAAAAAAAAAAAAACCACTAGTTTCCAAGGTCTGTGTGCCTCTGGAGATTAAAAACTAACATTTCTGGGCCAACCGACTAGCGCATTGGTTATGAGTTGGCTTGGGACGCCAGCTCTGAACAGCAGAGCCCAGGTTCAGATCCCACACGAGGGCCAGTGACACTGCCCTCTACAGCTAAGATGGTGAACAACAGCTCGACCTGGAGCTGGGCTGCTTTGAGTCGCCAGGGACGGAGTAGGATGCAGTGAGGCTGCAGTGGGCTGCCATAAGCTACTGTGAGTGGCCGGCAGCCGGTGTGAGCTGCCAAGGGCTGCCATGAGCGGCCGTCCAGAGGCCGGCGACCGATCTGCCTCATCCGGGAAGAGCACAATGATAATACCAACGTGGGCCAGTGAAGCAATGTCCTCCACAACTAGACTGAAGAACAAAAGGACAGCAACTTGTCTGATCCCTTCCCCTAATTCCCCAATAAAATCTTTTTTAAAAAAAACAAAAACTAACATTTGCACTGAGGACCCAGAGACACCATGAGGACTTAATAACCCTCCTCAACAAGATTTAACTTTATTTTGCAGTTTTAGGGGTACACCTCTTTGTATTTTATTTATTCAACTAGCTATGAATGGGGAATTTGCTATAACTCTATGAAATGCCAGGGCACTTTCTCACTTATTAATTCTTATGGATTTTCATTCTCAGCATGTCAGAGCCCAGGTTTCCATCTACCATTGAACAAGAGCCTCTAGAAGATAATCTGCCTTGCTGGGGAGGGGGTATGGTAAGAGGGCCTCCCCTGCTCGCTGATCTTTTTGTACTACTGTGTGGAACTCAGCAAAGCTAGAACCAGCTGTACATGGTATGCTTCAGGCGATGATGCTATAGACCTTCTACACTATCCCTCCAGATTTCTAGATTATTTTTCTAGCTATTAAGACTGTATCTATCCAGTCCAGAACTGTGAAGACCTTGACGTCCCATGAGCACTTGCTGCCCCAACACAAGTTAGGAGAAAGCCATGATGTATTTGGGAACAGGGTTTCCCCTTCTCCGTAGCTATGGGTATTCCCTGCCAAAGCACTTCAGAAAGAGAACAAGACAGGATATTTTGGAAGTTTCAAATATCAATGCTTAGGGTGGGTGGAACAAGGTTTACAAGGAGTGGCCTTAAGCACAACTGGGAATTCAGTGACATTTGCCCAAGGGATGCCACTCCTTCAGTTTCTGAGTCATTCACCCCTGTGACACACACCCCAACCACTGCTAATGCCCTTCGATAGCTAGTATCCTATTTCTTCTCATTTACACTTGCTCCCAAAGTGCTAAAATCAGTCACTTATACATGAGTTTGAATGAATGTGACCATTTATTTTTTTTCTAGGAGTATATTTGCACTTATTTAATTGTAGGTTGAATGACATCAGAGGGCATATGGCTGTAAAAATATTGTTCTCCTCTTATCCTCAGCACAGCAAGAGATAAATCTTATAATGAAGACCCTGTTTCTGTTTTTTAAAATATTAAAGAAATTTACCATACTTTTAGAGAAACAAACATACATACCTATAAGACGTATCAGCAACAATTCATATCGACTTGTGGTTGTGCTTGAGATAGGAAGGAGTGTTTGCAAGTCACGCTTCTAAGACTCACATGCATACACTCCCATTTTAACTCTTAATGCTTGTTGCTACCATCTTTGCAAATTAATCAGCTAGAGCAAGAAAAGCAAAATAATTTGCTCAAAGTTGCACTACTTGTTAATGGTTGAATAAAGTATTATGTGGCCATTATTGTAAAATTGTTTTCAATTTTTGCTACTGTTATGAATAATTAGTAGTGGTTTTATTATAGCAAAAAAAACATAGCATAAGTCATGTTAATATTCTGATAAATTATAGAATGTATTTTGATCTATTTTTGTTATTTGTCTTATATCTATGATCTCCAGCCTGTGTGTGTTATCATGAGGTTTAATATAATGGATATCACCATGAAAAAGCAAAAATAAAAATTTCTCCATAACTCTCCCACCTTGACCTTCTTTCTATACCTCCTTCGTAACTTCCCATCATTTTGTCTCTGGCATAGGTGGATTCCATAGGATATCAGGTTTACATAAATGGATTTTTCATGAAAAAGAATAAAAGGGAAAAGAAAAATTATTAATTTTCAAGGCCTGTCAGTCAAAAAAATATAGTGTCACTTTATATTTGGGGGAAGTAGCAGGGGAAATGGTTATAAGGGTTAATTTTGGGGTTTTTGGAGTCCGGGAAAAGAAACTAGGAAGTACTTCCCAGATGTACTCTAGTTCAGTCAAAGTTTAAACAAATTCATCCTAAAGGGAAAATAAACTTAATTATCTTAAGCGTATTTTTATTTTAAGAGATTGCTAAGGCAAATGTATTTCTAATTAGTGGAAGCCTTACGACTGGTATTTTTAACAAGTATCCTTGGTGGAGCTTTCTTTATTCTAGTCGATCTACCTACCTCCCAGGCAGATCCAAAGAATAGGGGTTGCTGGGTTATAATTGATCCAGAGAAGCATGTGCTTAAGAATCAGGAATCCTGGAGTTTGAGACTCAGCAAATCACCTCAATTTGTACAGTTACCAAGAGGCTGAACTCTGTTGTCTCTGCTCATTGCTTTTTCCACTCTCTGTTCCTTTATTTAACCTTCTGCGGGAAATGGGATATTGAACTCAGAGGCTTCCCCATGGGGAGTGAAAAGCAATCTCAGATTAATAGGCAGTACTGGTTAGTAATACACGTTCTAAGGAATCAAATCACAGCGATTGGGCTTACCTGGTGATTCCTCTCTTCACATCATTGCCCGAGGGAGCCCTTTCTCCAGGGTACTTGTGGCTCAACCACTTCTTAAATGCTGTCTGGAAAGACAGTCTTAATATCTGAAGTACAGCTGCTCTCTGGCATGCACACAGGTCCACTGATTTGTGAGCAAATCCTGGTACACATGGCTGCCCTTGCAGGCTGACAAGCCCAGGACACACCCCCTTCAAGAAGGAAAAGAAAAATACTTTTCTGCTGACCCTCCCCCTTCAAGTCAATATCAGCCTGGTTAGAGGAAGCAGCTCAGAGCCGGAGACCTGATGATTCTCCCAGCAGACACTGACAGATTTCTGAAACCACAGAAGACAAATGTTCTAGGGGTATGTGGAACGCTTCTGTTCTAGATCAGTTTCCTATAAAATGCCACTTTTTGGGGCTTTTTTGTTCAGGATCTGGATACCCGGGGTCATGCCCCATAAAGCAAAAGGAATGCATAATTCATATGCATTAATTCATATGAATTAATCCATAATTCCAATGACAAGAGGTGGGTAATTTCAGTGAGGTGAAGATACAGGTAGATATTATTTTTCCTTTTCTGATTTTCTCACTCAAGGCTGAAGAAATCAGTTGCTACTTTCCCAGAAAAAGGAACCTTGGACTTCCTGGTGTGGTCACATGCAATGAAAGCCAACAAAAGGGAATAACAGTGTGCCTGTCTGCAGAGGGTCAATGTTTTCACTATGTTCTTTGTCCTTAGAAAACCTAGAGCTAAACTTTATTAACTTCTTTAATAAAGGTTTCCTTCCTTCCTAAGGAGTCATGAAAATGAACACTCCATATTTGCAAATGACTTGAGATGGCTTACAATGCTAACGCATAAGATAAAATTATATTAGAACAGAAATAAAGAAACATGAACCAAACAAGTTCTATATAAGCTACATGAACTATAAAAAGAGAAGCTATAAAAGTAGAGTCAATTAAGAAAAATAATGCAAATAAAATCCTGTGAGGCATCTACACTGTTTTAAAATTTTGAATCTTTAAGAATGGAGCTTCCTAGCAGTCAATAAATAAATAAATAAATAAATAAATAAATAAGAGGAAGTTAATCAGATATATTTTCTTTTCAGAAAAGAGGAAGTATCCATCTTCTTAGGAAAGAGAAAATGGTCCTTGGAGCACAAAATTACAATAGAAATATCTTTTTTAGATTAAACAACACTGCTAATAAGATTGGAGCCCATAATTTTCTGGTGAAGACCGTTAGTGCCAAGCCGCCCTACACAAAATATGATGCTCTTGTTTCCAACACTAGCTGCCCCACTTGGTCTATATCATAAGTCATCATGAAAAAGCCTGGATCTGGTCCAGTGGAAAAGCTGTCAAGAGAACAAAGCCTACTTGACAACCTCTGATTGTTCAAGGACATCATCCATTGAACCTTTGTCCCCCACCAGCCTGAGCAGAATAGAGTTAATCTCATAATTTAGTCAAGTTAATTCCATTCTCCTCATGTGCCCTTTCTGCTAGGTTTTGCCTGTTTTCAGGATCTACCACTTGTAAGTGGAGACCAAATTTCCATTCAATACAAAGGGTCAAGGGCTTCTAGAAATATATACTCTCACTCAGCCGATCCAATGTTTACAGTCCTAGGATTAGATGCCACCTTCTCAGTTCAGTGCTTTTCTTTTCCTATCATCTCTATTAAAATGCAAGTTCATGTAGGAGCCCAGAAGTCACTGACACCTTGGTGGGAATGTGTTTCCAAAATGGGACTAATAAATAATCTACTAATTACTTAGGGAGCAAAGTAGCTGTGAAATTGGATGGGGGCAAAGGAAAGAGTAAGGCAGTCATGGAAGGCCAGACAAAACGGCCCATCAGGGTGGAGCTTCATGTGGTGAGGGCTGAAGCTCTGTTGCTCACCTCCAGCTCGTTGTGTCGTGAAGCCCAGCAACATCCTGGTGACTGGCATATGACCCTCAGAATGAAAGCAATCACTACAGTTTCTGATTAGACCAAAAACATTTTAGCAGATACTAGAAAATTAGGCAACCAATAGACATCAATGTCTTCATGAGTCCATTGGTTAGGGGGATAATCTGAATCCAAACCAATGAATGCATTTAATAGTTTGTTAATCCCACATTTAACAGAAGGAGATCATAGTGTGCCCAATATTTAGGTGGTTTCACAAATAGGGTGTGCTTTTGAATTTCTGATGACTCACCAGTAAGCCTCTTACTCACCTTTTCCAGTTTCCTTCTAATAATCTGTTAAATCATACAATGCTGAATTTTTTACTACTTCCTGGTTGGGTGTTAGGGCTCCCCAGTCCCTGCAGAGGACAGAGAGCAAAGGGAAACAGCATGGGTTTGAGCACTGTGGCAACACTGTGACATATCATTGCTATGAGCCCTAGAAAAGCTAACCTTCTGTGAAGGCAGAGCTGACGAAGCATTGCTCCTCTAGTGTGATTGTAATGCTCTTTCTGTCACAAAATCTCACACACACTAACCTGTGAAGCAGGAGCACGGTGTTCACCAGAGCATATGAAGGCAGCTAAACAAATGTGTTTTGGTCCATCTAGTCTACCTGACATCTCTTACTCTGGTGATCTTGACCTCAGAGCTTTCTTGGTGAGGCCAGGCCCAGCATCCTACAAATGCCACAGAAAAACATGAAGGGAGACCTGGGGCTGAGAAAGAGCTTCAAATCTTCCAACTTCATCTGTTTGTTTGTGTTGGATTTCTGAACAGTCTGATTGCTTGATTTCCCAGCAAAAGAGCAGAGTCACAGGCATAAACAGCAATAAACCTGAGGCCCAGGAAAAAGGAAAAAGCAAATATAAATATGTTATTGGAACTGGTTATCTCAATCTTATCGTGTCAACTAACATTCCCGGAGAGAACACTGGGTGTGAAGCAATATCTGAATTAGACAGATGAGCCGGTAGATCTGGGGAGGATATGAACCCACCCAGAGCAGATGGACTCTGGATGGCTGTGTCCATCCATCAGAAGTGCTGGACATTCTTTGAGCTTGGTCTAAGAGAAGCTCTACTTCAGGGGCTGCAAAAACATGGCCACCTTGAATGATATGGTGATTGAAGAGTATGATATGCTCTGAACTGTATCAGGTAGCTTTATTCCATAATTGTGAAATGGTTAAATGCAATGAAAAATATTTCAGGTATAATTTTTAATAAACCTGAAAGAAGGAGTAAAGAGGGGCACAGTTGAGTGTAAAATGTAAATTATAGTGAGAAGGTTTTCCTAACTCATGTGATAAGACTTAATCAAAACTTATGTAGTCTCTTAACACTCGGAATTAGGACTTAAAGAGAGGTGAATGGGGAATTATTAGACTATTTCAGGGCAAAGCTTGGTCAGTGTGACATAAGAATCTCTTTTGTGGGGGAGAGGAGAGGGGATGGCATTGCAAAATAATTGTATTGCTATTTAGCATTAAAATAAAGGACATCCAAATAAACAAAGGGAGAGTTCACAAACAGTAGCAAATCTTTTCCTATCCATGTCAGAGACAAGTGTAACAATCTATAAACATGGCAGCTGGCCTGAACAGCAAATTAGAGAAAGAAATGAACTATGAAGCCCTTACAATCAGTTCACATTTACTGAGCATTTACTATGTTCCAAGTACTGTTCTGAGAAGTTTCCATGTGTTTTTATACTCCCAGCAACCTGTGAGACAGTTGCCATTATGATCCCCATTTTATAGATAAGGAAATAGAGGTACAGGGCAGCTAAGTAAATGATGGGCCAAGGCACAAAGACAGAATGATTTAAAAGTCTGTTTTCTTAACCTGTACTCTACTGCTTCTCAAGGACAGATGAGAAATACAAATAGAAGTATCCAACCCTTGCAAAATAACCAAAGAAAAAGGCAAAGGCAAGGCTATGTCTCAGGCAATAATGACACATAATACTCTTATCATCTGAACCTTTGATAAAAAATTGGAGAGCCTTCCAAACCATATACAATCCACATTTCCATTTTATTCAACAAGTTAGCTTCAAATATCACTGATTTCAAGGCCCTGGATAAATTTAACGGGGCCAGGCAGACTTGCATCCATTGCCTTTAATCAGTTTAGAACATACAATATTTAAATGTCAGCGAAAACACTGAGGAGAGAAAGCTATGGAATATGATGGACTATGAAAGTAATGAGCTTTTCCCCCCTCTCTCCTCCTGTCTTTAAAATGAAAAGTATGCAGCACCAAATAGCCCACTCTCCAAGCTCAGCAGACGCTCCTGAGGTAGCACAAAAGTCACAACCACAGAGAATGGAGTATACCCCCCATCTTCACATCATGCACAGGAATTCACATGGGCTCAGGGCAGCCTCAGTGGAGAAGTTCAATCTGATATAACTTACAAGATTCCTGCTTTTACTACACACGTTCTAAAGTCCCAGACCCTTTACAATGAGATGCATTTCTCCACCGCTGGCCTAAAGCAGCAGAGAAAAGGAACACAAACAAGGCTTCTGGAGAACAGTCATGGATCTGTTGAGTTAGAGGCTGAAACCCCACAGGTTGTCACTCAGTGCCCCCCAAGAGTGCATTCCTGTGGAGGAGAAGTTCTCCCAGAACCGAATAAATCTGATTCTGCCCCTTGGCACCTTTTCTTTGACATTGAGGTTATACTCAACTTCCTCATGAGGATGCGGCCTGAGGTTAAGTATTGTTGGGGTTTTTTAGTTTTTTTTTTTTTTAGCAAACTGCCAAGTTAACTCCAATGTCCTTTAAGCAAAGGGAGACATCTAGTGGCCAAGATTCACATGAAAGAGGCCAACTGTTTACAAAATAGCTGTAGGGTACAATGGTTTAGTTTCCCTGAGGCTACACCGGAGGAATTGGAAGGGAAGGAAGAAAACGGTGGGGGGAGGGGGGGGGCAGTGGTCTAAACCAGGAAACCTCTGAGAGACCCTGAGCTACTTTGTCCATATGCTTGGCAGGGATTCAACTTGCCATGGAGTTCATTCATTCATCCATTTATTCATTCAACAAATATTCATATTAAATATCTACTAGATGCGAGACACTTTACTAGGCCCTGGGAACTTGAACTCCATAAATACTGTTTTCAAGGATCTTATAGCTTAATAGAAAGACTAGGCTACCAACAATCAAAGTACGTTGTAATAAGGGCTGACCCCATT